GGGTGAGGCGTCTTCCTGGTTGAAGGTGGTGATTGGTTAATTATACATGTACTCAGGTACAATAATTAAGATTCCAAAGTTTTATGAATTTTATGTAAATGTACTTCATTGAAAAAAGGAAATTTTATGACTACACTTTTCGAAACATTTCACGTCGGAAACAGAAATTTACGCGGTTTGTTGTTTTCCGAATTTCACTACATTTTTTAATTAGATTTTCGTGGATGATATTAAATCAAAATCAATATCGTACTTTCTACTGATTGTGTTTTATGTGTTAATAATTTGTTTGAAATAAATTAAATTGAATTACGAGTAGATTCGGTTTGAAAATACGTTTCATCTCCGTTATCTGATCAACGATACATGTGTTATCATAAGCATCTATCCAGTACCGTTTTCACGTGTAAACAGATTGACGATAAGCTTTAAACGAATAAAACCGCAAAGAAATTGAGAGTGGATTCTTACCATACATATTTTCTAAAACGTTTAATAGATTTCATATAACATTTTTTTTATACACGATAACAGAAAATGCAGTCAACGCTTATAAATCTACGGTTTTATTATGTTTAGTTTAAAAGATATCGTCCACATGTTGACGTCTAGATAAAGTCGACATATAAATCTTCCCGCTATTATCAGAAGGGTTTATTGTTTATAAACAGGGGGGTAGACACCCAGTCTGAACGATTTGTAAAGAGTTTTCTTTTCGTGCCTGGCTTCACGTGCTGAAAACCCCCCTGCGCCAAATAAACTTGACCTACTGACCGAATCCCTTCCGCTAAAATACAAGGTCAAAAGAAATTGACAACGCCTGCCGTGGTATTTACCGTGTCGTATTGACTTCGGTATAACGCAACACGATTCACCCAACAAGTCGGTTTATATTTATCACAGCAAGGTTGTATCGAAGTGCGGCGAAGAATTCTGTGGAAATGCCTTGTTGCTATGATAAATCCACAAACAAAGAATGTGTAAGGCTTGTATTAATAACACACCTTAAACTACAAATATCTTTATTATATTATTTATTTCGTTTTGTTTCCGGTAAGATAAATGTATTTTATAAGCGCGGCGTAGAATATATTTCGCTAAAGAAGATATGGTATATAACAAAGTTTACCACGGCATTCGCCGAGAGTGAAGTATACATGTGACCATGTTCGCTAGCATTAACGCAGGTGGATTCAGCTGCAACATTGCTGACTGAAAAATAATATTCATACTCAGGCACACATTCAAATAAAATTTCCAAAATATTATTGATAATTTCGTGCCATCACAACTCACGAGAGTAAATTATTGGATGAACGTACAGGACACGCGTAATCTAACGTCCATGAGATGTGCCTGGCGAGTACATCAGGTTCTCCTGTGACATAACATCCGCTGTTTGGAACAGCGGTTCCAATATAGTTCCTCAGAAATGGTATGATGACTCAGTAAGGCTAGGTAAGTACTGAAAAATATATGGAAGGTTTCCAGAAATCAAAGACAATATGTCCAGATGAATATATACCACTCAACTTTTAATAGGGATAATCAGAAAGGTCCTTCAAATTAAATATATAATTGACATACTATGAGAATCAGATCTGTGTACCCCTATCAAAAGTGGAATAGTATTATATCGATTCTCGTTGTCTGCATATCTGTTGAACTACCTCGTAAAACATGAGGCACATTACTCATTGTGACTATCAGGAACCATAAAATTATATTATGAAAGAAAATCACATCAACTCAATTGTTATAACAAAATATCATTTTTAATTTAATTAAAAATTCGTACAATGTTAATATTACCTATAACTATTACCATGTTCTATAGTCCTATTTAATATAAATGACATAAAAAAAACCAGAAAACGCTTTCAAAAAAGAAATCATTTCAAAGCGTATTTAGTCCAGTCAAGAGACGTTAGTTTTAATAAAAATGCAGATTATTTACAAGAGCTGAATACATTTTGTACCATAACGCGGAATGCGTCTATTCATCTCTCTGCCATTGCATTTCAATGTTTTCAAGCAATCATTACACGCTAACGTTATTACAAACCATCTCAGTTTGACGAAGCCCTTCGCATGGGCGCCATACCCGGAAACCTGCATTATCGGGTCACTTTAAAGACGTTACAATGTAGATGAAGGTCTCTTTGAATCATATTTTCACACCCCTCCGCGGTGAGACAGGCAGTAACAAAGGCGTTCCACCCCCACGCCGATATGAAACGGTCCGTACATACGCAAAATCAATGCAAATCTTCAACACTCATAACAAAAATATAAAACGAAACTATATCAACTGTTATTACCTAGATTATTATCTTAGTATAGTTCAAATCTTTATCTTAACACGGGGTAATCGGAGAAATTAGATTTGATTATTTTTATCGGTTTTCATATTAACATAATAATTTACTGGCCTGCTTGGGTGTTATATTAAGAAACAATAATTTCGGCCAATATTTTGCGAGCTTGAATATGTCGTATTCTATGGAAATTCATATTTCTTTCCAGAGAGATAACTATCATTTTTAACTTTGGGGCTTAATATCGAAGTGACAATACTTTTGGTGTCCTTTAATATTTTGATGCAGTGTTGGGCGATATTCAACAATTCAACAAGTACTACAGCATCGAAGTAGAAAAACAAGGCTTGAACACAAAGTAGAGATCAACCTTTGAGCTTATTTTCATAGATACTGTAAATGCGGAACGTTTTGCGTCACGTAAATATATATACGAATGGCTACAATAGCTTTAACTGCCCCTGCAGAGTTTTGCGACACACTGATAATGAGATTACCAAAGATCAAAGCTGCTTTTGCACGAGTTATTTGTTAAGAGTAGAAAGCAGCGTGATGTATTCATATTAATAAAAATAACAAAAAATCATTCAAAAATTTAATTGAACATTATCTATGTAAATCGTCATAGAATTTCGCTGACGCACGAGACAAATTATTGAATCCATATATTGCGAGGGACCTCCAGCTGAGAAATATTATGAAAGTTTGTTTTTTAACTTGAAGAATTAACATCTAACTTTTAATCACATGCTAATTGTTTATGTTGTCATATACATATAACATTATTTGTGTAAAGACACACGTGCTAACAAAAAAAGGAATTATTCAGCCTTTATTTGATAGGATGTATCGAAAACTCAAACCACTTGCATGTTTATGAATGACACGGACATGTAATCTTCAAACGCAACACATGGGCCCGGGAAGGTAATAAAATCAAATTTGTATTTGTTGTAACAGATGTAGAGTTGCGCGGGGTCCATACTTATTTTTCCTTTATCTTGATCGTCATATCACATCAATTGTCATGATATTTAAACAATAATCTGCGAAGTGATGCGTTGCTTCAAGTTTCAAATTCATTCTTGCACCTGGATAGACAACAGGGTCTGATACTTAGTACTGATACTACAACAGCTCGTACTTATCGTTCTTGATATCGGGGAATAAAGAGTTTTCTATGCATAAAAATAACTACGATACATAATGCCATAAAATTCAAACTTAAGAAAAAGAATTCAAACTGAACGCAATATAGGATTGTCTCATAGTTCAGCGAACGCTGAAATTGGCCAACTGGTTCGTCTAGCTTTTATTTGATACATGAAATAGATATTTATTAATTCTTTTGACTGCCGCTACTAATTTAATAACTACCCGACAACTATATTCTGAATGTTTATTTCAATAGTGTCCCGTTAAATTTGTTCATTTTCATTATGTCCGTTAATTTTACAAATTAAACTAGATAGACAGAAATTATTTGCGTCCTAAAATTGGAGAAAGTGCACAGGAGCTAAATCTCGTACTGTAAATCGGGTAATGACTTGTTTGGGATACGCTGAAAGGTCCATCAAATTTAGAAATACAACATAATCCAAGTTTCGTAAGGAATCAACAAGCAGTTTGTGTGTAAAGAAAATAATTCAATGACGAATGGCTAAATGTTTAATCCCCTGTCACCAGATTTTGATAAAATCAATATCAAATAATCAATGTTTTGTCAATAAACCTTTTCTGTGTAATCTCAAATTGTGTTATGCATTTTGATTATTTTAAGGTTTAGCAGGTTTGTTCCTGGAATAGTATGAACAGAATTTTTGGATTAATACTTAATGTTTTAAACGAAGTTGAAATTGTGTGACTCCTTGTTTATGTTCTTTTAATGCTTGATTATACGTCCTAAAAATGCAGTGTTGAATTTCAAAACAGATGTTAGGTGTCGTAAAGTTAAAGAAATATATAATTTAAATTTTAAAGACCGGTAAATAATTAAAAACGAATCCCGGTAGTTTTATAATCTTTTAAAGGGCGAATTTAATTTAGGTTTAAGTTTCACTTAAATAATCGTATTTCACTGTGGAAATAAATAATGCAGAAAGAAAATATTCTTTGGGGAATTTTAACCAAGCTCTTTGTTCATGGATAAAAGACGTTTTGATTTTATAAAGATCCTATCCTAAATTTAATTGAAGGGTTGGCTAAACACAATTTCTGATCAAAATATTAATGAGAAATCATATTCCGTTCATTAATCATTATGTCATAAAGTATTCTACGTCTTTGTTACATTTCCACCGATATAAGACTAATAACGTCAAGATATTTCACGACACGGCTCTAAGGCGTGGCTTGGGGAATTTATTTCGCGTGAAAATTTGACATAATGGTTATGAAAAATGGCCTTAGTATCTCTCTGAAGCCATTTCCCGTCCGTGTCGTTCATTCTCTCTGATTAAAAATTTATCTTTTTATCGCTACACCCCTGTGTTTTTCAGCACGCGACCCTGGGCCAGCGATTTCGCTCATTGTTCCGTTGTAATCTCACATTCTACGATGTCTGTGCTCCTTTGAGCTCTTGGCCAATCACAGAGCAACATATTCGCGAGCCTATCGGCCAGCTGCGCTCTCATTGGCTGAATTTTTATGAGTCTATAAATAACAAACCAAAGTAAATAATACCGGCTGGCTCTATGACAAGTCACGTGATAAAGTCGATTTGCTGGCCCGGGTGCTACGAGACGAGGCGGATATTTTCAGTGTTTCTGGATAAAAGAAGCAACGAGCAACCGACACAGTAAGTACAACTTGAAGTATGATGCTTCTGCGACAATAATTCGTAAAATCTTAATATTTCACGACGTGTTTGGGGCTCCAGAACGCGCGACAATTCCGAAGCGGTCTGCTTTGCTAACAACTGGCTATCCAACATGGCGTCTCTCTCGACTCGGCAGACGAACGGGCCCCGCTGTCGGGATTGACAATTTAGCTTGGCTATGGCGTCTCCGTGAACGGCATTTGTGTGGAAGGGTCTGCTACTCTCACGGTTGTGTAGTTACCTTAGAAAATATTTTACGTTGTGTGTGTTGATCAGAATATTTTGATACTTTGCCAAATTGACCTATCGCTGTTTAAGCATCGTTTGGTTTTGGATGTGTAGTGATAAGGGCTTAGGACTGGATTTATGGAAAAGCACATGTGCAATGTACTAGATAGCCCGAAGGACCACCGCTAAGGATCGCAGAATGATCCCCTTTGGGGGTAACTCTCATTTCGCGAGAGGCTGTACACTACAATTTCAAAGACAACGTTTTTACAGTGAGTCCAAACAACTCAAGCTCAAAGCTTTAATGCTTGTGTTTACCATTTATCGCTCTAGACTCGTCCAGGGGACACTCTTACCCCTGTCTGAAATTTCCGTCTGTGATATGTGTTTACTGCTAACGCAGAAACCCCCAAATCGAGGAACATATTTCGTAAACTACCGGAATTTTCCGCAATAGAGGATGTAGAATAATTTGACCCAATATCGACGCTCTTGCTCAAGCACGAGAAAAGCGAGAGCGAATAGCGAGCAGACAAAACAAGCTTTTGTTATCATAATAATCCTAGGCAATTCTGCAAGCTAATTTGCCTATCGCTACTCAAGCGTTTCTTGTTATTTAGTGTGAATGTGTATTAGGTCGGTGCAGTTGGGTTGTGAAGGTGCTATTATTTTCCTCAACGTTTCGTGTGTTGGTCTTCTCGTGCAATGATAACACACGGACATTATTGATGAACCATTTATGGTATGTTAATGAGTTTTAAAGTCAATTACAAACATGCACATCTTCTCTCGTCGGCTTTTATGGGCGCTGACGCAATTTATGATCATAATGTCATGTTACGGTGTGTTGACAGATTATCAGGGTGAACAAAAACCGCTGTAGGTAATTATGCAATAAATCGCAACCGTGACTCACTACACTAACATAGGACTTAGCAATCCATGATGTCAAAAAATGGTGCAATTCTTTATCAATATGCTATTTTGATATACTTATATAAGATATTACGATGTTAGCCCATCGACACATAAATCAATTAGGTAAGATAATATTGATAATGGCTATCACGTAGGCAATTTGAAATGGAATATGATTGATATTATCCTGATTTTCATGTTCTCACACTGTGGCTAGAAGGACGTATCACATTAGGTTTATATCATAATAATGATTATCTTCATATTTCATAATCACCTGATTATTATCTTACACAATGTATGATATCTTCCAAGTATTCCTGATGACACTCATCGCCAAAAATAGATTCTGATTATAACGCATATTTTCTTCAGTAACTGCATTGTACACAGCGATAGCCAACGTGTCAGCAAGGCCGGCTTGCGATCAGAGGCTGATGTTTCATTGTCAAACCCATTTCAAAGACCGCAGTTCGATATACAGACTATCAATTTATATGGGCAACCCTCAAAATGTGAAGTTCCAAATACTGCCAGTAATTGGCGACGGAGAGTGGTCATCCATATCAATTGTTGTGCCGAGGAAAGTGTCCAGCTTGTCCAAGAAACGCAATTACATACACGTGGGGCCCCACATGGGGTGACTTGGTAATTGAGGCTATATTCATTATTTATTTTCACTGTCAGTGGCGGATAACTGCACTGGAAATGACGGGTTATTAAATGCTGTGGTTGGTCTTGTTAGAAATGATTTAGAAGAGGAAATTTCACCAGCAACTATTCCTTTTAACTGGATTTGTTTAATGACTACACATTACAGACATTGCACATAGATCGATAGCCATTACATATAAATCGATAATCATGACATATGAATCGGTAAAAGGCTACTATGCTTGTCGTAAGAGGCGACTAACGGGATCGGGTGGTCAGGCTCGCTGACTTGGTTGATACATGTCATCGTATCCCAATTGCGTGGATCAATGCTCATGATGTCAATCACTGGATTGACTGGTCCAGACTCGATTATTTTACAGACCGCCGTCATATAGCTGGGATATTGCTGAGTGCGGCGTTAAACAACAAACAAACAAACTTAAGAATCGATAATCATAACATATAAATCGATACATATTATATATGAATCAATAGCCATTACATATGAACCGATGACTGAATTTAAAGGATGGGCTAGGATGTATGTTGAATGGCATTAGACAAGGTGTTTAAAAAAATCACTATTAACATTTATTCTAACAATGTTGATGATGAGTATAAAAAAAATAATTTAAATAATGGCCACTGCTGAAATCGAAAATATACAATCAGCACAACAGAAAAGAACAAACAGAATATTAGCCCAAGGCCATTAGAAAAAACCATCAACCTAATATGGAGGGTTGTCATGGATAAAACATTGGGCAATGTTACTTCCAAGTACACATAATCTAATTTGTAATTATTATTTTTTTCTAGAATTTCAAAAAAAATAATTTCCTGAAAACTGTTTTTTGCTGAAATCACCCCGGACTCGACATGACGTAGAATGAGTGGTGTTTGCACAAAATGAACGTAAAATTGCAAACAGTTAAGTCAACGTTCTGTGTGGAATAATTACATTTGTCAAGACCGTTTTTGATCCACGTGCCGGGTAGCAAATAACATGTACACCAGTCAGCAAATAAAATGTCTCGGTCGTTTGTAGAGAAAATATTTTGGTTACGCTATCAAAGACTAACCGAAATTGCTGTTAGCCGTCTTGACAGCTCGTCAATCAGTCTGGAAAGGGAGGGGTAAATATTCATTAATTAAAGAAGCCCGATAAAGGGTACCCTCCAACGCTTTTTGTATAGGGGGACCCCAACAGACAAGTCATTATCGTGCATGCGGCTAAGAATTGGAAAGTAAACACGTGATCGTCTGATCAAACTTGAGCAGACGACCGATGACCCCCTGCAAACATCACGTGACCCTGAAATCTTTCACCGACAACAAAATGGCGGAAGGGAATTGTTTCATTTTGCCCTTTCAGAGCGCAAGTTAAAGCAATTTTTGCTTCAATTCGCTGGCTTGTCAGTGCCTATTTGATTGAGGTCACGGGGGAGAAGCCTGGCCGGCTTCAGGGACTGCGAATGCCTGTATCATGCAAATATGCCTTGAACTTGTGACCCTTGTTGGGCGATTCTGATTGGCTAACAGTTACCATAGTGATGTCACAGGATGACGGCATTACTGTATCATCCTTTATCGTGACGTAACAAGGACCTGGAGGACCATAATTTAGCGCGCGAATGGCCATATACAAACAATTAGCCTTCTAACCAGCTGTGTTTTGTACCCGACTTTCCGTCATAGCGACAGCGGATAACTTTAAGGAGCTCTCTCGTCGGTGAAGTGAACGCAAATTGAATTAAAGGAGTCTCTGTAGAACCCTAAACCGTACAGATTGCCGTAATATGTTATTTCTCAAGCTAGTGGTGGTTGAAGACCCAAACTAATAGCATGGTTTCAGTGTCTAGGTGTAGTTAAATAAGTAAAACTGTCCATTTTCATCTGCCGCGGGATTTGATGATTATAATTACTGGCACTTTCCTCATTTTAGGTGAATAAAATAGAATGTGTTCACCTGCATGTTATCAACCGATGCAGCCTATTTGGATTACATTTTTTTTTATTGGTGACGTTTTGTGTCCGATTTCAGTAAAAGAAATAGACACGTGCTACAACAAAATAAAATTCGTTTTGTCCAGTATTGTGCTATTAAATCGCTTAACGCGAAGTGTCCAACTTTTCAGCGTGAGGCAATATACAGTCATGTCGACAAGGTACAAAAGTCACTTTTAAATGTGTAATACATGTTCCTTGAGCGAGTTCTGCGTTTTGTAAAGTGACATCTACAGACCTATTGTGTAATCGTGCCCTGCTGATGTATGCTGATGCTTAGACCAGCCTAACTTTCCAAGAACTCCCAGCCCCACCATGTGACGACAGTAAATGTGTATGAATTAATATGTGTCAGAATTCCGTAAGATTTGAGTGGTTACGTCGGTAAGCGCTTTCTGCTTGTGATTCATTTACCACTGGGGTAGTCTAGTGGTGAAAGTGTTTGCTTGTTCCTCGGTTCGGTTCGATTCCCCACATGGATATTTGTGAAGCCCATTTCTGTGACCCGCGACGTAATATTGCCGTTATTTTGCTCAAACCCAACTCACTCACTCATTTGACCTTTGATACTCGTCACAGAGTTGCCAATAAGATATTTTAACGAACAAGACACCGTTTTGCGGTATGGCATATTGTACATGACAGTTTTTCGCTGGAACTAACCTAGCTGATGGAACTCTGTACGCTTTTCATGACCTCAGCCGAAAGCTAACTGTGTTGATAACAGTATGGTGGTCATGGGATTTTTTATAGTAAACACGGGTACAACCCGAGAATCCGTTGAAGATTTTAAGAAGATTCGGCTGTCCCATATTCTCTGTCATTCTTAACCACTCGTGCCTTTCCGTGATAAGTCGAATGGTTACGGAAAGGGGCGAGTCGTGACGAACGATTCTGGATATCCGACTTTGACATATACGGAAATTACCATTTTTAGTTTCGTGAAATGAATTGCATATCTGAACAATATGTTTTGTCGATAAAACAACTACTCAACCAGCGAGGTTAGATCTAAGGACTGTGATGAACGTCTTCATATTTAGGTGAATGTGTCTGGGCACGGAGCTTAATAATTATTGAGGGTGTCTGGGGGGTGATTATATCGCAAGGGCCCGGTGTCACAAACCAATCTGAACTCCACGACTGTCGTAACATGTTGGGAGTTGCAA